TCAAGGAATATAATTTAATATCTAAGCTATTACGATTAGAAATATAATTTAATATCCGATGCATAATTCAGTTTATTTAGGTCTTAATTGCGTAATAAAGGTTTACTATAATTTAGTGAAGAATGAGGTATTTTCAGAGCATAGGCCGGCTACAAGTGTAGTGTTTTCCTAACATGTGTCGGCATCCGATTGGCTAATGTGATTCAACGGTTGGATGGATGAGAAAAGAATTATGCCGAATATATTATTTAATTAAATAATATCTTAGGATTATATTGTAATATCCTTGATTGGAAATTATTGTGATTCAATGCTTAATTGAATTGATCTTTTATTAGGAAAACATAAATATAAGATTTAGTAATTAATCATATCTTTAATACCTTTAAATATTCTCCTCACTATTGGATGATTGAGGAAAGAGTTAACCCAAAATACTATTTAATTAAACAATATATTGGGATTATCTTGTAATATTCCTGATTGAATATGATTGTGATTCCATACTTCATTGGGTTGGTCTTCAATTAGAAAAGCAGATAATATTTAGTAATTAATCATATATTTAATACCTTTGACGTTTGTCCTTGCTATAGGAGAGCTTGATGAGCTTGTAGTCAACTACTCGGCTTTCAAAGATGTTGAATTGTGCATGGATTAAATGTGTGTCTGGCCAATTTAATAAGGGCAATCTCGTCTTTCGTTGGTAAAAATTCACGTGTCAACTCTAGGATTTAATAAGGGCATTCTCCAGTTAGGACGACTTGCTGGTTGTATGCAATTGCAGGTGGAAACGGATTTCATGAAGGCAAAGGCTGCTTATCACTTATCAGGGTGGCTTATTGGATTATTCGAATCTTGGTTTCATTTTGTTGACATTAAGGCCTTAGCGTCGGAGTTTGTTGGGTGTACTTTCTCATATGTCCCCCGTCATTGTAATGGTGCGGTTCACCACCTTGCCAAGTTCAGTTTATATAGTGGTAATTCTGTAGTATGGTTTGAGACTTTGAGGAATCCCCCAGGATGTTATGAGGAATATCCTCTACCAAAATTTGCACTCACATTATGTTTTTGCAATAAAGCTATCGTATTTCCATAAAAAAAAAAGTACAATTAGTATAGTTCATTTGGGGAATATTTTCTATAAATGCATGTCGAGATAAGGTTTCATTCAGTTAATGGAATGCATATCTGATAAGGCTGAATTCAACGAATTGGTTCATGCATGAATAAGCTAAAGAAGTTAATTGTAAACTGTATAGTCAAATTGCAAACTAAATAATATGGTATCCAAAGTTGTCAGATTTCGAAGGGACAAATTTGTTAAACGACAATGGTAAGTAAGTTGTCTGAATCCGTTTGCATACCATATTAACTATTCGTCATTCCAAAAATACATGAGGTTCCAAAAGAGATTCAAACCTCTGAGAATCTTTCTAGGTTTGAAGTAACTTTTAAAACGAGTCAGGAGCAGATTCTAGTTTTCTCAAATTGCATTCGGAGAATCAATTTATACCTTAATAAACCTCTATTATACCCTGAGAATCAATTATTGTTTACATGTTTGCTGCCATATAAGGGCCTCAACTCACCATGTTATCAATTTAATGAAGGATCAAACAATCAATCCGACTAAAAATATAAGCTGACACCTTATGGTGTAAAATGAGAAACTTAAAATTTCATGACTCATTTTAACCATAAATTTGAAAGGTACAAAATGTAGTTGATTCTAAAAATTAAAAATACAAAATTCAAATTAATGAAACTGACTGCATAAGACGAATCATCCGCTAAGGCAGACCACAACCTCATTGCATGTCGCATGCTATAAATTTGTCTGATAAGCAAATAGATATACACCAAGGCATGTACAAAATTAGCAAAAAATTGGCATAATTCACATAAATTAACTAAAAATTACAGATCAGTTGTTGTGCACAGAAAAGTAGGAGTTTTTTTTATTTTTTTTATTTTTTTTTATTTTATTTTTTTTTTATAACAAACGATAGTATTTATATTAAAGGGGCAGGTTGAAAAGAAATTCTTTGAAATAAGTATTTATCAGCAAAAGCGAGAACCAGCACAAGAAAATTATTTGAAAATTATTTTCATTTGGCTTTTTAAATTTCTTTAATGGGTTTGTTAGTAAACTTGTAATTGCTTGATGATTTATTATGTGATTTGTGTGAGATTCATTACTTGATTTGTTTGAGACTATTTCAATTCTATAGCACACAGTTCTGTTATTGGGCATAGGTACGAGAAAAAGGAGAATAATTTCGATTCTTAGCTTCTCTCATGTCTACTAATATAAGGGAATCAATAAAATTTCAAATGAAAATAAAAATAAAAATATATCCTTCAAAACTAATAATCAAACACTCTCTAAACAAGAAATTCGATCAACTACTCCCATCTAATCGATCCAATTCTCATTCTTTACTCTCATATACCTAATTTCTTACTTTCCCTCGTTACAAGTAAACGCGAAAATGTTACACCTATGGGATTGTAGGTTTTATTCCATTTCCACAAGAGGAGTGCATTTCACACTCCTAAAACCATTCTTCTTTTGTCCCATCAGAAGGAATATAAATCCCTCCTCAAGTGCAGCAGATTCTACAGCAAATAATAATGTTCTCATATCCTTTACAAAGAAAGGTGGAAAATGAAAGGCAAACCCTGTATTGTATACTCAAATAGTAATCTCGAAAAGTTTCGAATAAACCCGAAATGGCTTCGAATCTTATTTCAGAATCTAAACACAAGTTTATGCAGAAGTATAAAACTTATCTATGTCAACTCAAAGTGGAACCCGGCCAACTGCCGAATTTGGATACCTCACTGTTATAGCTGTGAATGCAAATTTCTTTTTCCTTGATCCTGGACAAAATTGCACCTACAAAACAAATAACACCTTATGTCAAGGCCAAGAGTCTCACGCGCCCACGATGAAGGAGGGGGGCTTTGGCCAAAGGACCTCCGATGCCAAAGTTAGAATTTAAAGAGAAAAGTGTTTGAGAGTTTTGGAGAATTTTAGCAAGAGTATTGGCCTAACTTTTTAGAGAAAATAGGGTCATATATATAGGGAATGGAAGTGGCCATTTAGGTATTTTTTTGGGTGTAAATTGTGGTTAAATTGGTGATTAATGGATTAATTAGGAATTAACCCATTAATTAGCCAATTAACCTCCACTTAAATGGAATGTTATGTAGGTTATAAAATAATTACCTAAGATGAGGGTGGATGAGAATATCTTTGAATTGGTCACCTATTTTGAACACTTTTGACTTGATTGACGCCACTGCTCGCGTGTAGGAATCCCAGTATGCCTCAAGGGTATTTTTGTTCTCTTTTACCCAAAAATCCACGTGTCACCTTGTGATTATTTTTGGCTCCACAACAGCTGCTACAGATGCTGCCTTGTCCAAACCCAACATTTGAAAGCAATTCACATCAGCAACACTGATTTTATATGAGATATGTGCAGCACCAAGGAACAAACTGCTATCGGGGGCGGAGTCATGTAGGGACCAGACTGGTCCCAAGTCTCCCTTGACATTTTCTTCACATAAAAGAAGGTAGAGTTATCCCTCTGATTTTCAATTTTTTTTTAGGGTATTAGGGCACCAACCAGAATCTTTTTCTTATTTGCTTTACTGGGTTCAAGTTAAGGCTGGTAGCTGTTATGCAGTTAACTGGCGTTACTGAGCTTTGAGAGATGTAGGTGATTAGAAGAGGGAGAGCTTCCTTCCTTCTTCTGCTTAAAAGGACTTTATTTTGAATCTGAGTTGTGATACTGCGCATGAGAGTTGAGTTGAGGAAGAGGATGACAAGAACGATTCATACTAAACCTAAATGATGGTGGTCGGTAGCTTAGGACACGACATATATCCTTATTTTCTTAGCCCCGAAATGGCATATATCCTCTACTTGAGCTTGTTGATGACTCCTCCAGCTTGTGAAAAAATTTGGGGTAACCTGAAAAAGACGACGTGGCTCTATGTTTAGATTAAATTCACAAAAGTAGGGAGAAAAAGCTCGACTAAGGAGATGCAACTTTGAGTTGGAATGATGTGGATGTTGCATCATTCCAAGAAGATCATGATAAACCAACCTGCCTACGCCTGATATATGGGAAAATTAAATAACTTATGCACATCGTACAAATTCAAAGAAGTGAAGTAACACAACTGAAGCTCGTGACCCAGCTCAAGCTGTGGTTCTATGTTTGTCCAGAGCTTGAGCCTAGCTCAAGTTCAGTAAGTTTGAGCTGACTAACCAACTACGCAGGGAGGAGCCAAGTGAGGACGAGGGGAGGCGGGGACAAGTGCCCTCGCTGGATTGTTGGAAACGGTTACGGTGCATATTAACTCGGTCCAAACTCATCCAACAGAGAAAGGGTTCATCAACTTTCTAAAAGATTTGCGCCTCTGCGGAGTTGGAGAAGAGGAGGCGGTGGAGTTGGTCAAAGTTCCAGTCTTTTTCGTTGGGTTGGAGGAGTTGGACCAATTGGGTTACTAACGAGTCGTTGGGATCAGAATTGGTGGAGAGTGGTGGTTCAGGAGGAGGAAGACGGAGGAGGATTGGGTTATGGGGACGGTTGGGGTTTAAGGAGCTTGAGGAGGGATACGGACGAGGGTTAGGGTTTAAGAATGATACTTCGGGGGAAGTTACTTTTCTTGTTGCTTACGGCCCCTCTAACTAAAAACTCTCCTTATCATTCCTTTTCCATGTTTTCCTTTTTATGTTAAATTTCGGTAAGGAAATTTTTCTTGAGGTCTATGTGAATTTGAGATCATGAAATTAAAATGGCAAGGAGTCTGTAACATTTTTTTCAGTAATTTTTCGAAGTTAAAATGTGGATCGGTAGTCTCATGATTGACTTGAGTAGAGAGATCCAAGTCAAAAGATTTTAGATTTTTGTCCAGTCAATTTCCAAATTTTGAATTTAGAATGTAATAACGTTTTGTAGCGTAAAATTGGTGAATGAGAATGAAAAGGAAAAAAAAAAAAATTCAAAATTAACTTTATGGACTTTTTCAAGAAAGAATGAAAACAAAAACAAAATAATTATCAAGCGGTTACATAATATATTTTCCCAAGCTTGTGAGGAAAACAAGAATTACAATGCAAAGATCAAAGTTGAAAATTTGGAAGATCGTTTATCCCTAGCTTGTGAAGTGTCAAAGTTGAAAGCCCGGGAGACCGCGTTCCTGAAGCCTGTCAAAGTTGAAAGTCGGATAAACCGCAACAGGGATGGAGTGCGCCCGTACTCAATTGAACTGTAGATTCTTGGTCTTATTCGAATTTGTGCAAAATTCTTCCAACTAGCAAATAAAACCATTCTTCTTTGTCCTATCAAAACGAATATATATCATGTCACTCCTCAATTGCATCAGATCGTACAGCAAATATAACGTTCCCAACCTTTATTTGTTCAAAGAAATGTGGAAAACGAAAGACAAACCCTGTATTGTATGCTCAAATAGTAATCACACAAAGTTTCGAATCAATCCCGAAATGGCTTCAAATTTTTATTTCTGTAGTTGCTTCCAAATTCGGAACACAACTTTATGAGAATTTCTATTACAAAAATGGAACCCGACTGCATAATCTGGACACCTCACCGTTACAAAAGAGAAATTGTCACGTTCCTTCAAACTCCTCTGTAATAAGTTAGATATCTCTTATAATCAAGACGACAAGGCAAGACCGTTTTGTAAAGATTTTCCAAGAGACTGCATGGATGTTGTACATTTTCATTTCATATCTATTTACTTCGTTATGCAACTTTCAATTGAATCGGTAATAACCAACTACCATGAGCCCTGCCTAAATGAGCTTTGTTAGGTTGGCCCCTTACCGTTCACTTGTTGGGTTGCCTCCTCTAGGTTATTTGCTTCTATTGATCTTCTCAGCTGCTTCAGCTGCTGCAGATGCTGCCTTGTCTAAACCCAACTTCTGTAACTCACTTGAAAAGCCATCAACATCAGCAGCACTGATTTTATACGGGCTGTGGGCAGCGCCAGGAAATGAACCGCTAGTCACTTCTTCCTTGTATTCTACTAGAGCTTTGTTGATGACTTCTCCAACATGTGCAAACTGCTTGCAGAATTTCGGGGTAACCTGCAAAAGGTGAGGTGGTTCTTTGTTTAGATAAAGTTCACATAAGTGGAGAGAAACAGCTGACTAGGAGATGCAACGGTTGAGCTAACCTTGGCATGATGTGGGTGCTGCATCATTCCAAGAAGATCATGATAAACTAGCACCTACATGATATAGGAGAATGAGATTAAGTGTGCCAGAAATAACTAAACCATGTATTCGACAAAAATGCATGCAAAAACTATGAGGAAATTAATTAGTAGCCTTGAGCCAACTAATCAACTACACTCATCAACGACAGTGGAAACATAGCCTTTAAAATATGGAACAATGAAAATTATTATTTATTTCCCACCTGAAATCCTAGAACTTCTGTCACAATCAAAATTTAAAGTTACAGAAAATTAGAATGATATGCTGGTAAACAAACTTTCTCAAGGATGGTAATCTGTATTTAACACCAAAAGGAATTACACTCACAAACATCGACAGCATGATGAACAAGACTACATAATCAACTAACCTGCCCATTGCAAAAAGGCCCTGCTCCAATGCCAATTGTAGGAATCTGAAGAGCAGATGTTGCAGCAGCTGCCACCGGTGGAGGTACGCATTCTAAAACAACAGAAAAGCACCCAGCTTCTTGTAAAGCCAGCGCTGTCTCAACAACCTGCAAACGAAAACCCCAGTGCAACAAATTGTTAAGACAAAAAAGAACACGAAGAACCAAAATAGCGAAACAGCATTACCACTTGCACACACACAGACCTTTACAGCACTAGCAACATTCCTTCCCTGAGGCCTAAAACCCCCAAGAACACTAATGGCCTGAGGAGTAAGTCCCACATGCCCCATTACAGCAATTCCAGCTTCGACGATAGATTTTGCCGCAGTAATCCTCGAAGGTGCCCCACCTTCCAATTTGATCGCATCCATTCCGCCTTCCTTTAAAACCCTCACCGCTGAATCAACAGCCTGCTCATGATCAAAACAGCAACATTAACCACCCATGGCCCGCTTATAAAATCATAAACCCGATCAGAAAAACAAGACACAATCTCATTTCTACAATTCAATATTTGGTTTGTTTCTGCTTGGTGCCCATGAAATTCGAATATGTAAGAAATCATGTAAATCATTTATTTCATCATCTGGGTCATAAATTCCATCAGTCAAAAGTGACAGAGACATAAAAATGAATAAAAGTCATTTCTTTTACTTTCTCAGCAACCGACCAGTCTCCAATGTCCATTTCCTTCACATTCTCACTATCAAAAACATGTTTATCTCCACATACAAAATAAAACCCATAAAACAACAGACATCAAAACCCGATTTAGCAACACAAATTTCCATTTGATTTAGTAAATACCTGATTGGAGCTCGACTCATAAAACCCAAAGGGCAAGTCCCCAACCAAAAGCGGCCGCTTGGCGCCACGAGCCACGGCTCGGCAGTGAACAAGCATTTCATCAAGCGTGATGGGCAGTGTGGTGTCGTAGCCATGAACCACCATCGCCGCCGAGTCACCGACCAAGCAAATGTCTATGCCGGCGGAATCCAAGTGCACCGCAGACGGGTAATCGTAGGCGGTGACCATGGTGATGGGCTCGCCCTTCTTGTACTTCTGCTTCAAGTGGGTCACCGTGACTCTCTGGTCCGGGCTTTGGGTCTTCGGGCCGCCGTAGACGGTGTTCTCCGGCACGTTGCCCATGCAACGGAGGATCGGAGCGAAGGCCCGCGACATCGGTGAGGCTCGCTTGACGGCGGCTGCTAAGAGTGCCATATTTGAAGAGAGAGAGAGAGAGAGAGAGAGAGAGAGAGAGAGAGAGAGAGAGAGAAATTGGGGGTTTGTTTCGGCTGCGCCACCTAAATTGAGGGAGCTGGAAGCAAGTGGGAGTGGAATGAGTGAGAGAAGCGAAGTTGCATTCGAATTGGGTGAGATTTGACCGCGTCCGGTTTTGACTTTTGGTACAAATGTCATCTGCGCGCCACATTTTGGTGGCAAAATGGTAAATTGCTGACGGTAGTATTACTGCTGACCGTAACATCATATAATATGGGTTGGGCTTATCAGCCCAATACCTCTTTGCAGCCCATTAAGTGGTGTTTCAAGCTTCAAAAAAAGACCAAACGTAAGGTTAGAGCGGTGTGTGCTATCTTTTCTGACTACGACTCAACGAAGTTAAAGCTTCACTTTAAATCTTAACAATAAGGGTGGCGACCCCACTCTTTTTTTTTTTTAAGACAAACAGTAGTGGTTTATTCAAAGCTATCAAGAAAGCATACAATCTTTTTAGAGGACCTACGACAATAAATCTGAAGGTTTCTCAAACCAACAAAAATTGAAATCAGAAGATAAGGCCAACTTGGTCATACAGTGTGCTGCAACATTTACCGATTGACTAACATGACATACTTTGGATTCTTCAAAGCCTCTCAGACTTTCTTTGATGTCCTCAACCAAAAGATGAGTAGGAGAGGCGCCCCCCTTCAAGCAGCCAATGTCCTGAACCACCTGCAGGGCATCACTCTCCAAAATAATATGCTGCTAATGCCACTGCACAGCCCATAAGATACCATCCCGAGCAGCCATGAGTTCGACCAATTTGGGGTTGGTCACATGTGGTGTTTTGCGAATGAAACCTCCAGCATAGGTTTCGTCACAAAAAACCACACCAACACCCCCCGAATTCGAGAGGAACAGAAGGAACCATTAACATTAATTTTTACCCACCCGGAGGGAGGAGGGCACCAACGAGATGGCGAGTTCAAAGGTTTGGGGTGACCCAACTCTTGATAAGCCTTTATAAGGTTTCAAATATTCTTTTACGTAAGATCTACTTTCTTAATAATCAATGATCAATGGGGGGAGAGATTCATGTATAGTACCTCTTTCAACAATAATGAAAATAAAACACCAATAGATCTTTAGTTATGATGTGAAGTGATCAAACCGAATTGGTTATTTTTTTTATACATAGATATTTTTACACTAATAGGGTCAAAGAAATAATTTACAAGCCTTGTCTCAATTAAAAATTAAAATTTTATCTTGTGTGTATTTTCTCCTGAAGTTTACTTATTTTGGAACATAGGATATTATTTACACTAAAAGAGAAGGAGATGAGCTTAGCCTCACAATGGACTAGCAATAGTGTGGTTCAAATTCTTCATTAGCCTCCTAAAATTTATTTGTTTTAGTTGTAATTGATTTTATGAAAGTCTTTTACAAAATAATAAACTTACTAACCACCATAGTCCCACTAGGTGGAAGGCTTGTTTTTATTTATTTATTTATTTTTTATTTTTTAAGCTTAATGGGAGAAGGGCAATTTTGGATTATGAAAGCTCCGCCATTTTTGTCATTTTTCTTTAGATACATAGAAGGTAAAACAAAAGATTTGACATATCAAATGGAGTAGAAAATCTCACGAGATATTGAATTGCCACAAAAGCCTTAAAATATATGGTTAAATACAACTAAATCTCTATTAATTAATAAAACTCTCTTTGTCAATCAAAAAAAGGTGAAAATCCCAGAGATTTACACCCTCTTCAGATACATAGAAGGTAAAACAAAAGATTTGACATATCAAATGGAGTAGAAAATCTCACGAGATATTGAATTGCCACAAAAGCCTTAAAATATATAGTCAAATACAATCAAATCTCTATTAATTAATAAAACCCTCTTTGTTAACAAAAAGATGGTGAAAAGACAACTTCGTCTTCTATCACACAAAAAAATGATGGGCAATAATGTAATTTCACAGATCTAAATTTTACTGTTTTTTTTATTGAAGCCTTCAGATGATGTTAAAATATCTCTAATATTTAAAATTAAAATTAAAAAAAAAAAAAAAAACCTCCCACTCCCCCACGTTTTCTCTCTCTCTCTCTTTCTTTCTCTCTCTCCCTCTCCTTCTCTCCTTCTCATTTTCTAAAAAATGTGTTTATACACACAAAGTATGTAGGCAAATGCTAGTTGTTTGTTAAATAAATTACTTTGATTCGATTATACATTTATACTACTAGTTTAAGGAAAAAAAACGAATGTAAGTCCAACCGACTCAATGAAATGGCTATAGGGCTAAAAATAGTTCGAAATGGCTATAGGGCTAAAAATAGTTCGAAATGGCTATAGGGCTAAAAATAGTTCGAAATGACATGAAAACCGTCTCCAAGCAAGGGTTAGGCCAAAAGGCTTGTGGGTCCCACCGGGCAAAAAATGTGAAATCCGGTCAACTGGCTGGCCCAAACTAGCTAGCCAGCCCCGGGCCGACCCAAAAATTCAAATCTAACAGCTACCTAGTGTCAGCATAACGCTAGCTGACGTCAGGTGACCATTGGATTTGAATTTTTTTTTTGGGACAATTTTTTTTTTAAATTCTAATTTTTTTTTCCCTATAACTACCTAAGCCATTAAATAACATTAAATTTAAACAACACAATCTCCACCCTAGTACTACTTGGGAGAGTTATTCACACTTAAACAACATTAAAAGAAATATTTAACAACATAAAACTTAAACGCCTACTCCATGATTTTTTTTGTCCAAAGATGTGTAACAAGATCTTGTTGTAGGTACTTGTTTGTGGCACGCAAACGTATCATCCTATGACGCCTCATGTACTCATTTAAAGAGATATTACCAGCTCTTGGATCCAAAGGCAAATTAGGCCCATTATATATTTTTGCACGAGCCTTCCTTGACCTATTTGGATCATCTTGGTCATCATCAGACTTTCCGTCAATATAGCCATCTCGCTCATCCTCCACAATCATGTTGTGTAATATGATGCACGACATCATGATGGAGTTCAATTTATCTCGACTCCACCCTCTTGTTGGTTCCTTAATGATCTTCCACAGTGCTTGTAGAATATCGAAAGCTCTCTCAATATCTTTCCAGTATGCCTTTTGGTGTAGGGTAAACCACATTTGGGTGTCATCCACAGGGTTTGCAATTGCTTGGACAAGTGTCGCACACTTTGGATAGATGTCATCTGTCAAGTAATACCTTATATTGCAATGACACATGTTGATGTAGTAGTCAAGTTGAGGTGATTTAACCTTCGTCAAATTATTGAAGAGGGGTGAATGCTCAAGTACTGTAATGTCATTTTGGGATCCTGGGACTCAAAATAAAGCATGCCAAATCCATGTGTCAAACAAGGCAACCACCTCTAACATAATGGTTGGTTTTCTCGATCTTCTGCTAAATGCTCATTGCCATCTGGTGAGACAGTTCTTCCATTGCCAATGTATGCAATCTAATAACCATTTTATGACCAGAAAGCCATAGTTTTCAGCTTTGCGAATGAGCCGATCTAGATTTGCTTGATTTGGTTCACATAGGTACTCCTCTTTGTAAATCTGAACAAATATGAGACAAAATTCAGCAAGATTATGATGGCATGTAGACTCAGACATACCATATGTATCATCCATCACATCAGCTAAGGAGGCATAGGTCATCATTCAGAGTGCAATAGTAACCTTTTGATGAGGTGAGAAATCAGGGTGACCTATTCTGTCCAGCTTCTGTCGAAAATATAAATTGACATGTTGGACATCATGAAGTAAACGCCCGCTTCATCCAGAAGCGACGTTTGAAATCCTTTCTGTGTATACTAAGTTGAGGTTGAAGTAGTTGTTCATTAAAGTCTCATGCGCCATCTCTCTATTTTATGGCTTGTAAGAGCGACCAACAACAGAGCCACTCCATTAAGGTTGTTCTTCAGTTGCCTCACATGCCATGACCCCAACCATTACTGCCATATATGTTGTGTTACGCCATGCTTCATTTTCTTCATCGAACTCCTCATCTTCTCGTCTCATCTGCGCCCATTTATCTTCCAATTCGGAATTGGATGAGGACTCCCAGTTGGAATCTGAAGAGGATCCAAAGTTAGAATTCATTGCAAACTTGAATTGAAAGAGATATTGGAGAGGGCAAAGATCAAGGTGTGTGAATTATAGCCCAATATCCACCCTATTTATGGACATTGGAAGCTGAAGACAAGAAGTGCCACGCAAATAAGAATCCTATCTAAAATTCACACAACTAATTACATCTTGACACGTAGTACTCGAAATCCTATCTGAAAAATTATTGAGATTACATATCGACAATAAATCTGGAGAGTTACTCACATATCGACACGTGACACTTGAAATCATATTCGAAAAATTATTGAGATTATATATCGACAAGAAATCTAGAGAGTTGCTCACTTTAGTGACACGTGTCACTCAAAATCTTATCCGTCAAATTATTGAGATTACATCTCAAAAAATTATTGAGGTAGTTTAATTTAAGTAACCATATTAATTCAATTAAAATAATAAATTATGTTTGGCCTATGGCCTTTTGGCCCATTCGGTTGGAGATGATTTGTCACAGGGCTATGTTTGGCCTATGGTCATTTGACCCTCTCGATTGGAGATGATAAGAAATATGACATGACATTGTTTGTTAAAATATTAATTTCTTGGAGGACTATAGGGCTAAAGAGAGCCCTCTAACCCTTATTCTATTGGAGATGACCTAACCGGCTAGAAAGGCCTTAAATTGAAAAAAATGGATGTTACTGGGGTAGATCGTTACCTTCTTCAGCTAAAAAGACCGTCTTATTTGATTGCGTAAGAACTGAATGTAACGGAGTCATTCTGTTTGATGAATTGTTGGATATAATGTTACATTATTAGAAAACTATTATCTCCCATCGGTCCTCTCCTTATCGAATCTCTTCGACTGGTTTGGCTTACGTAAATAATCGAATCTGCTTCTGCAACGACATCGCTAAGTCCAAATCAGAACCGTTAAAAAAAAAGTCTACACATCCAACCACTCAGATCATCCAACCCAAATCACAACTAGATCGCGCCACGTGTTAAAAACCAGAATCCACCCCCGCGGGTCTCACTAACACTCTCTCCCAAAATGCCGGCAACTCACGCGCCAACCTCATCGATAACCTCACTCCTCCGCCTTCCTTCTCCCCCTCTCTCCTCTCTTCGCACGCTTCCACTACTTGGCATCGCCAAGTTTCGCTGCTTCCGTTATAGCCAGAGCTCACTCCGTACGGTAACAGCCATGTCTGTACAGACCGCCGCGTCCGCCGTATCATCGCCGGACCACGTTGCCGGGAAATGGTTTTCGGTGCCGGAGCTCCGACTCCGAGACCACCGATTCACCGTGCCTCTCGACTACTCTGTCGATCGTACCGCTTCGCCTAAGATCTCAGTCTTCGCTCGCGAAGTTGTTTCAGGTAATTAAGCTTTATTCACATCATTAATTTAGTTTAATTCGCGTTGTTAGCTGCTAATTACTGTTTGAATGGTGTTGGTTGTGAATTATGCAATCTAGTGTGTGTGATTTGAAGTGATTAATTTGTTCGTGAAGCTCAGAGTTCAGATTTTTGGTGAAGTCGTTGACCATATTTGTGTTTTGCTCTGTTTGGTTGCCAAGAAAATGGTGGAAAGGGAGAGAATTGAGACATTGTTTACTGCAGCTAAGAAAAAGGCATTGATTAATGTTTTGAATTGGAAGAGTCATTCGAATCCAATAACTAACAATGGTGATAGTTTTTAGTTGTTTTGGCCCTCAGAAAATATGTAAGATTACTCTGCTACATTTTGTTTTCTTACTCGTTTAAACAAGCACTTTCGAAGGACAATTGTAGTACTTGAAATAAATATGTCAATGTTCGGAATGTGAAGTTTCTTGTGAATTTCAATTGTCACGAAACTAGTAAAACTGTGCCGAAATTTCTGTTTATGAGCTAATGTCTAGTTTCCACATACCCCCACTTCTGTGAAAGTTGGGTTTGTTGCGTTTTTCCTTTTTCCTTAGCATTGTAGACACTGAAACTGTTTTGTTGATGTGATGTATTCTGTTATTGATGCAAAAGGTGCTCATACCGTTGTTCTTAACACTTTGCTTTTTTATGAATGTTGGTCTAATAACACAACAGGTCATTGACTGTTGAAATATGATGTGTAGTTGTTTTTAGTAGACTAGTGGCAGGTTCCAGAGTAATACTCTTCTTTTGTTTGGTATATAATTTAATTCAAGTAAGCTGTATATGGATTCTTAAGACACTGGCATATGTGCATGCAAGAGGCTTAAACTCCATTTAAGAATGGTTCATAACGAGATAAGTAACGTCAGAAGTTGCATACATATGTGGCTATGACACTCGAGATAAAGACATACTAAAATTGAGCGTGAAAGCATGTGCATACCTGTAAACTGGGGCTTCAAAAACTGTCTGCTTTTAGTTACGAAATCTCTTTTTTTTTTTTTTTTTTTTTTTTTTTTCTCTAGTGAAGAGTAGATAGTAATGTAATTGGCAAGCAAGATTTGTTTCCATTTTGCCAATGTGCAGAATGTTAATATTCTTTGCACACGCAGACAAGACATTTGGCTTTACATGTGGTTCATTACTCCCTCAATAAAATAAATTTTATGTTGCAGTTGGTAAAGAAGAACAACAATTGCCATACCTATTATATCTACAAGGTGGACCTGGATTTGAGGCCCCCCGACCAACTGAATCCAGTGGATGGATACGTAAAGCATGTGAAGAATTTCGTGTTATATTGCTGGATCAGGCATGGGCCGCATGTCTATAGAGACATATCTTATTACAAGCTTTTGTCGATATGCAATACTTTGTTTATTATAGTTGTGCTGATGTATTTTACTTGCAGCGAGGAACAGGTTTATCAACTCCTTTGACAGCTTCATCTTTGTTGCAATTGAAGTCTGAAGAGAAATTGGTTGATTATGTAAAACATTTTCGAGCTGATAATATAGTAAATGATGCAGAGTTTATTCGAGTACGTCTTGTTCCTGATGCTGCACCATGGACAATCTTGGGTCAGGTATTAATTACAACTTCCTTTGGTATTTATGCTTGCATGTGATCTTTAGGGTTTAGACTATACTGTGATAGTTCTGACGCTTTGTAGTTGCCTTATTTGCTGAAAGACCTACTTTGTTATCAAGGACTTTCTTATGATCCAAGAGTTCAGTCATAATGTCGATATCATTCTTCTTATATGTGAAGCTTTTTCTTTCGTGTCATATCTTATGGATTGTTTGAACTGTATCCTGTACAACTGAACCAGACTTACAGCTTTTTTCCTTTCCCTTGTGCAGAGCTTTGGTGGTTTTTGTGCAGTAACTTATTTGAGTTTTGCACCACAAGGACTAAAGCAAGTCCTTTTAACTGGAGGAATCCCTCCAATAGGAAATGGATTCACTGGAGACGTTGTATATAGAGCATGCTCTGAACGGATTATACATCAGAATGAGAAGTACTACAAAAGGTATCCTGAAGATATTGAGGTTGTTCGTGAAGTTGTTAACTATCTATCAGAATCAGAGGGCGGCGGGGTGAGGGTCTAGAACAGATGATCTTGGTTCTGTTCCTACTGTTGAGATTTAAGATCTTTGAAATTAACCCCACTCACCCTTGTTTTTGTACAGGTCCCACTTCCATCCGGGGGCTTCCTAACCCCAAAGGGATTGCAAACTCTTGGTCTTAGTGGCTTAGGATCCAGTGCTGGTTTTGAGCGCTTACATTACATGTAAGGTTTCATGAATATGAATCTAGATTGTAATATGTTACAATTTAGTCATTCTTTAAGTGATTTTAATTTCACTTCAACCCATAGGTTTGAGAGGGCTTGGGATCCTATAATAGTTCCAGGAGCACGAAAGGAAATTAGTTATTACTTCTTGGATGCTGTAAGAAAATAACTGCTTTTTCTTGATATCAAATCTAAGGTTTTGAATATTCCTGGTATAAAGTTATAAACCTTAAACCATTCCATGTTTGCAGTTTGACAAGTGGTCTTCTTTTGATACAAATCCACTTTATGCTCTTCTTCATGAGTCCATATACTGTCAAGTAATTGCTTTAATCTCGTTAATTTACAGAAGTTTATACCATATATTCTTAAATATTTATATAGTTTTCATTAGCTTATTAGTTCATCTAGTTATGTAGTTATTTATTTGTTGAAGGGTGCTTCATCACGGTGGTCTGCTCATAGAATAAGGGCTGAAGATGAGGGCAAATTTGATGCAGTCCGGGCTGCAAAAGAAGGTCGTCCCGTACTTTTTACAGGAGAGGTAGGCATTTGTTCCAACCTTCTCTTTCAAAATGACAAAAAGACATAATGTTGACATTCAGTTCTATGAGTGACGGGTTGTTGATGATGTATTTAGATATTAATTCATTTTATACATCTCATGGATAGAAATAATTGACAGCGTATGAGATGTAGAATACTTTGGGGAGTTATAAACATGAATCGATGATATCTAGGTGTGCATAAATTTATGATTTAATTGCATGATGGTATAAAAGCTGTCTAGCTGTAGACCCTTGGACCAGTCTATGGGTTGACTGATGTCCATCGGGAAGCAGTAGATTCACAACTGTGTAGCATACAGGGCAAGTGTCTTGATGAAAATTGTAGGAGCTTTCCGACAGCATGTTGTTACTTGCAGCTTTCAAAAGTACTTTACACACAAATATTGGGCTTTTTGCTCCTGCAGATGATCTTCCCATGGATGTTCGATGAGATTCATGCCTTAAGGAAATTCAAAGGTGCTTCTCATGTATTGGCTGAGAAGAAGGATTGGCCTCCCCTATATGACATTGATGCACTAAAAAATAACAAGGTGTGCTACCTTTATATGAAGTTAATCTACTTGAATAGCATCTCTCCGTAAGAATTTTACAAGGGGAAGGAGACCTAAACTTTCTCGCAGCCTGTGATGTTTTCCATTTGTACCAAACCCTTGACGTGAATTATCAGCAGTTTCGCCCATAAGTGTGTAAATAATTAAATTTGTTTCTGTCAATGTTGACAGGTACCTGTTGCAGCTGCTGTTTACTACGAAGATATGTATGTCAGCTTCAAGCTGGCCATGGAAACTGCTTCGCAGATAGCAGGGATTCGGTTGTGGATAACCAATGAATTCATGCATTCTGGTCTACGCGATGCAGGGAGCCAGGTTTTTGATCATTTGATGGGAATGCTAGATGGAAAGAAGCCTTTGTTCTGATTTCCATGGCAGTTCCTGCACTAAATCTCTGTAGTTTGTACTTTTTTTCGGTCAAAATGTGTGGTCTGGAGTTGATTCAACTTATTTACTTGATACTTTGGCCTCGTTTGGTACGGATGATTGGATTAGACATTACAGAGACTTCTCTCTTCTAATCCTACTATTTTGGGGAGGATTAGAATTGATAAACTCTTCATTTCTTACCTTCTCCCTTTAATCCTCCATCTCCTACCGCACAATTTTTTTTATTGCTTCCTTCAACGTACCTTAAAAATAATGTCTTACTCATTTTGATCCAATCCTCCACCAAACAAAACATTTATAATGGTGCCTTAGTTGCGGCAAGGAGTTTCTCTATATGTTAAAGTTCAATTTGAGGCTTGTATTATTGGTTTAGAGACTTTCTTTACAATGATCTTTTTTTAAGCAAAATTTGATTTTCTATAAAATTAAGCGAATGTGTAGTGTTAATTACTCAATACACACACAAATGTGAGTTAAGTTAGTTGACTAGTATAATAATACAAGTCCTAATTCTCCTCTTTCTTAGAGTTGTTTAGAATAGTCTTGAAAATAAAATTAGGGATGTGCTATTCGAACACTTTTGTTTACTTCTTACGCATCCTCTTAATTTGTGGTTGTCGGATCGAATGAATTAAAGAATATCAAATGACAGAAACTAACATGTGTGAGAAGTAAAAAAGAGATGCGTGAATAGCATACCTCTAAAATTAACACTTTTAAGGCCTGTTATTTTTTAACTATATCATATCGTTGTGATATAGGAACTATATAACACAATATTGGAAGTGCTTTTATAATTAAATCACCAAAATGCCTCTGACCGTGTTTCTCAGGAAAAGTTAAAAAATGATTTGGTGTTGAAAAAAGCAAAAGATGCACATGTTCAAGTGTTTGTTTTTCAAGAAAGCACCTGCATTTTTGTTAAATTTTTTGAAGTAATAGAAGCGTTGATATTAAAGACAGTTTCAAAAAGAAATTCTTTCTAAATAAGCATTTTCAAACGGACTAATAAAGCTATAAAAGTATTGAATGAAAAGTTAATAATCGAAGCTATAAAAGTATTGTATGAAAAGTTAATAATCGAAGCTATGTATAATTTATTAAGCATCATTTACACTTTTTATCCACTCTTATTGGTAGTCTATAAAAAATATTATATTGTATGAAAAGTTAATAACCGAAGCTATGTATAATTTACTAAGCATCATTTACACTTTTTACCCACTCTTATTGGTAGTCTATAAAAAATATTGAGAAAACAACTCTATGTAAAGTTATAGATTGTACTCTTAGTTGATTTGTATGTCAATCTATTAGGGGTCAATTGATTGACCGGACTAGTACTGAATGGGGTTATTCAACACTAATATCATCTTTAACCAATGTATAGGATTCATTGATAACTGGACAAGTTGAGATTATTACATTCTTTATGTGGACTTATTTTAGACATTTTAAATAACACGCCGAAATAGAAACACTCAAACCTAATCAAAGCAATCTAAGTCAATCCTATGTATCAAACGTGCCCCCAAATCATCATCAAATCAAAACCTGAACCCTTCTTCTGAACCTATTTTGTAGGTGGATTTTGCGAACTCCTTGCAAAGAAGATCATTTGATTTTTTGAGTTTCAGGGAAGGTAGGTGGGTTGCACAAGCCCTGATTGCACCAAAACACCAAATAAGACTCCAATCTGTCCACTATAATCCTAACCTAGTCTATCCAAAATACAAGTTCTATCCTATCCAAACCACCAAATGAGGCATATTAGGGCGGCGAGGTAACCTTAACTTTGGTAGGAAGTGGTTGTCAATCTCTCCTTTCATACACACATCTTCAATGTACACATAACTTATTTGCTTTAGGAAAGTATCAATAGAGAGATAAAAGACAAGCGGGAGTCCTGTCACAATGCTTGTGGGTCACATAGAAGAGGATGGCGTCGGCAACATACATATCATACTTGGTCCAAATCTTTTTGCTTGCCTTGGTTGGTAAACAGTATCTAGTCAAACTTTGATTATTTGAACATGTGTCCTACAGTTCTCAATATATTAAAATATTACAGAAACACCTATACCATGAATCTTGTAGGTGAAGATCGAAGATCGAAGAGAGAGAGAGAGAGAACCATGCGTGCAAATCCATGCATTGATGATAACGATATGTATATTGGGGCACGTCACCTTATGCGCTTGAAATTTGCAGTTGAACAGAAGTAGTTGAGATGTAGTTGGCCTTTACCCTAGCTAGGGTAAAGAAGATAGTGTTATACCAAAAATGGCAAAAAAACCCTTTCCTCTCATTTAATTCAAACCTAAGCAATCATCTCTCTCTATCTCTCTCTCTTTCTCTCTCTAACTTTGTTCGTGTGCGTCAGTCCAACTTCTTCTCACCTTCCACCACCTTGCTGGAGAAGACTTCATATATACATGTATCAAACATTCTCTCTTCCTTTCTCACCCTTAGTTTGATTATTGACCACTAATTATAATCAAAACACTCCAATTAATTATAATGGAAGATCCTCATCAACAGTATAATCCACCTCCATTAACCTCCCAATCGCTGCCCTTGTCATTACCATTCTTGTCACCGCCGCCACCCCAAAACCCTCCTCCCCTTCCTCCCTATCTCTTCACACCCTCTTCATCCTCCTCATTGATGACCAACCCTCCCGATCTTCTAGACATTGATTGGGTTAGCCTTCTCTCTGGTGGTACTCAAGCGGCAGGCGGGTTTAATCATGATCAGATTAATAGTTTTAAGCCTATGGCTATCATGGACAATAATATTAGTGGCTCTGCTGGGAATACTGGAGCTGATCAGGAAGAAAAGGTGGGTGTTAAAAGGAAAGGTGGGGGTAAAATGAGAAAACCAGCGGCTAGCCGGCCTAGGTTTGCGTTTCAGACTCGAAGTGAGGATGATATTCTTGATGATGGCTACCGCTGGAGAAAATATGGTCAGAAAGCCGTCAAGAACAGTTCATATCCCAGGTTTATTCATTATTTAATTACTTTGCAAATATTTATGAATATGAACACATTGTTTATACCGTACATGTATCAATCTAGAGAACAAATTTTATTTTATTTTATTTAATATTCTAGGGAATTTTTTTTTTTGAAAATGATGAATATTGGTTACTTAGCTGGCTTGTGAATCAAGAGAATCTGAAACATAAACGAATTATCATTTGCATATATTCTTTTTAGTTGCTTAATTTGTCAGAACTTGTGAATTATCTCATATGAACATAGAGAATCAATTTATTTAGTCAAGTTGTTTAGAGAATTTATCAAATATAACAAAAAAATTAACCTTAATTTCAAAATTGTCAGTTTTTATAAAAACTTTCAAATATATCCAAAATTCCACTTAAATAGACACAAATACCCCAAATATATGAATAACTAATTGTTAACTAAAAGACTTCTTGTGCTATAATCAAATGTTGCTCTCACTAATATTTTCTTCTTTTTTTTCGTTTCTTTTCCAAACAAAGAACAAAGGTCTCTCTCAATTTTATATTTTAATAAAATAATCAAAGAAGCCCAGTGATCCTTAAATCTTTCTTCATATATGTAACATAGCACGAAAAAATAAATACGAAAAGGACTTTTTCATAATTCCAAGCTGCCCTTCGAGTATGATATTACATATGGTACTAGCTTTTTACAGTATTGAGAAAAGCGGAAATGTTGAGCAAGACCACAATTAAGGAAATTAACCAACAAAATTCTCATGCTGATTAACTAGGTTTTACCACAAAGAGAGGATTAAGAACATCGAAAAGAATAAACAGATTAAGCACAGAGTAAAATATTGCTGCAAGAATGGCAGCAACAAGAGCTCTGATCACTAAAGTGTTTTGTGGGAACTAGGCGAGAAAGAAAGGTTTATTTATTTATTATTTATTAAAAAATAAAAGTGAGAGAAACATTTGTTTTGCGTTTAGAAAAGAAATGAAAAAAAAGAAAAAAAAAATAGTGAGAGCAACTCTTGATTATTGCACAAAAAGTCTTTTAATTAGTGTAGATGATATCGTTTGTTCAAAAAAAAAAAACACCTAGTTATACATACAAAATAAGGGATTTAATGTCTATATAAGTGGAATTTGGACGTATTTGAAAGTTTTTATAAAAAATGATATTTTTGAAATTAAGAACTAATTTTTTGCTATATTTGATAAATACCTTCATCATCCTCATTAAATTATATAAAAAATTAAAAAAATAAATACCCAATTGTTTACATGACTCGGGTTTGTCTATAGAAAAACTTTTTCTAAGCCTGACCCGAGAAGGAAATTTAGTACGTGAATATTAGCCATTTGGACTCAGAAATTATGATCATATAATTCTGCCAAAAAGTATATTGTTAGCAGAAAATACAATTATAACAAAGCATTTTTCCCACAAAAAAAAGAGAGCTCCCAAATCATTTAAAATGCTAATATTAATACAAATTTGTTTAGGGAAATTAAACTAATTTACCATAAAGAAGAAACCATTGAACCTAGTCATATATATAGACCTTACGTATTCTAGCTAGCAACCTTTGAGGTGTTTAGCTAGCAATTTGAATCCCAAAACTCCCGTAGTTGTTTGGTTATCTGTATTATATGGGATATAACCCTCCAAATATATAAATGTGTGACAATATATACGAACCGAATGATTCAGAATTGTATATTTTAGTTTAATTAATTTTTTCTCCATCTAAGCACAATGCTACTATCAGGGCATTTACTCAATTATTAGTTAGTGTTCTTCATTCCATTGTGTCGAGTTTAAAATATCTCCTCTATGTTTCATTTTAAACATATGGTCATTACTTATGTATTGTAGGAGCTACTACCGCTGCACACATCACACATGCAATGTGAAAAAACAGGTTCAGAGGCTGTCTAAAGACACGAGCATTGTCATGACAACGTATGAAGGAATCCACAATCATCCTTGCGAGAAACTCATGGAAACCCTAACTCCTCTACTGAAGCAAATGCAATTCCTCTCTAGGTTCTAATTAACAAGGTCACTATATATCATCTTTCATTGGCATTTGTACTTATATATTAACCTTTGTGCACAACGTAGGGAGAGATTTGTAGTTCAAAAGTGGGTTAAGAAAGTCTACCCTGCACCCGAGTCATGTGTTCGAGACCCATTCTCTTAATATCTTCTTCTAAAAAAAAAAAAAAATTGTACACGTTAACTGTGACTATGTGATAAGAAAAAGAAATTAAATATAAAAATTAATGTACCAAAATCTATGTTAGTATATGTTATGCATTAAGCTTTAATCGTTTATATATTTTGTTACTATATATATGTTTAGACTCCTTCTTTTATTCTTGATTTTTAAATGATATGCTCATGAATTGTATTCCACTCGTAACTGGGAGGTCTCAAGTTAAAGTTTCATGAATGACGAGTTTAAAACCTAATTATAACTTGAGTATTGGCAAGTTGTAAAAAAAATACAATACAAAAGAAACGATAGGATTTTGGTTGTCAATGGGACATAAAGCCAAGGCTAAATGATCCCAACTATATTAGCAATCAAATGAGATTGACAAGATCGAGGAGCTTGCTAAAAAAAGAATGGACCTAAACCCAAATGAGTCAATTCATCAACAACAAAATTCATTTTTTGATAAATAATATGCCGAATTTCAAAGAACCAACTATGGTGTATAAAATCATGACAATTTAAAACCAAACTTCCAAAGGTTGATTATCAAGTTTAGCATTTAGAATCAAGTCTACATCAAGGGCAGAATTAGATTCAACCAAAATCTTCTTAAGTTCCTTATTCTACGCAAGTTGCAAAACAACCCCAAATAGGGCCAATTCGAGCCGGGTCCACATGTCTTTTTTTTTGGTTTTTTTTTCCTTTTCTTCTTTAGCTTTCTCGAATCTCGATCGTTCCAGGAGATGTTGGACCACCACTTTCTCTTACAATGAGACCAAGACCAATATCGGTGACCTCGTCATTTACCCAAAGCTTGATTTCCTGCGATTCTTGTCATTTCTGAGCCACAAGATCGGAATCTTGTCGAGGAAGTTCGCTATTTTCCTATCCTCGCTGGAGACCCGCTAGCGAATCCCCATCACTAGCAAGGTCAACTTTAGCACGATTTCTCACACTGGATCGCCGTTGTTACTCCGCCTCACCTCGGCACCTCAAGACTACAGCTGCCTGACCCATGTGTGTCCAGTTTTGACTAAGACCTTGACCAACCACCATTCCGTGCTTGTCTTGAGCCTCTGCTACTGCATCCTTATGAACCTACCGCCCATATCGTCATTGCATAGTGCCTATTTGAAGCCTGTATTCAACACTCGTTGCTTTCTTCCGTCACATCTTTTCCATTCAGCCCAGAACCTGCATCGACGAACACTGTGCCAGGTGGATTGTGGGATTTAATCAATGGTGGAGATTAAATCTCCACATATTGAACGGTAGATACGGTCTGGGCCAGGGCCCCGTTTTCTTAGCAATTTGGACCCACCCCGCCCCGTTTTAGATTTATACAAATTAGACCCGCCCCTTCACTACTACAAAAGTGGCTTATTGTGTCGGTGGCTAGTGTCAGTTTTATATAAAATAATGGCAGAAAAGACATTTCTGACACCCTTCTTACATGGTGTCGAAATTACCATCGGGTATAGGTGACATAAACTGTCTACGTCGCTTATAACCAACATAGACTGTTAATGTCACTTATAACCGACATAGCTTGTAATCTTTTTAAATGGTGGTGTCTTATAAAAAGAAAATTGTGTCACTTTTTACTGACATAAAGTTATTGTCGCATGAAATACTTTATTTGGCATTTTCATCCGACACCATTTGTTTTAAATATTTTCAAACTTCCTGTCAGTGGGCAGGTTAAGGTCAGTCTCATCTGACTGATAGTGTATCCAATATTTGGGTAAGATTTTCTTGCTAGTTTTGCAACAAAACTAGGTAAGGTGATGTCGGTTTTAACCAACATCGTCGAATTTTGAAACTTTGAATCCCTACTTAAAGCCTATCTCTTTCTTCCCTTCACGCCATTCTTCTTTGCGCCGTTGGTCCTTTCCCATTCTCCTTGTCCTTCCCTCAGCTCTCTCTCTCTCTCTCTCTCTCTCTCTCAAGGGGATATCTTCAGCACTCCCCATTCCATATGTTTTTAGCCCTTTTCCATATGATTTTAGCAATGTGGTTGATGAAGACACATGGTTGAAAATGAACAAAGGTTTCATAGCTGACCTTGATTACCTTCAAATGACTCCCCACCAAGTGATGAAGCTTCTCTCAGTCTAATTTTCATCTATTTTTCTTCCGTTTCCCTGACCTTTGTTTTTCTATTTATTGCTTAAGTTCTATGTGTTGTTTTGACTTATCAAATTTTTCTAGGTCTTAATTGAGAACTATAAGCAGGATGTCCAGAATTTGAAGAGACAACTAAACGATCAATTAATTTGATCAAGAAAGAACTAAACTACAAAAAGAAGCAAAGCTAATTAGAGAAATCCCTCATAGGCTTTTGAATGTGCAACAACTTGCAAAGGCTTTGATGTGGATGTGTTATCAAAGACTCAGGTATAGCTATTTTTCAAATCGGGCTCTCTGAAGTTTATTTGGTGTTATCAATTTAGTTACAATATAGTTATCTAGACAGAGCTTTATATATGATGAAAAATCTTTGACGGCAATCAAGCATAAGTGAAATTGGCACAAGCTTGCAGCCAACTTGCCTTGTGTTTGCAACCCCACTGTGGAGCACATCAGATTCAATTGATGAAAAATGGGCAATTCAATTGATATAGTTGAAGAAAAATTTGACAAAAAGAAAAAAGAATAGAAAGAAAAAGTGATTGAAACGTGATGAGAATCAAGGAGAGAGAAAGGGAGAGAAAGGCTGATGTAGGAACTAAGAACCTTTTAGATATGGATTTTTAATCACTAAAGGTTAAGACCGACAATAGGTTTGATATTTTAATTGTTTAATTGTTACTTGATGTCGGTCAGGACTGCCATCATGTCAGAATTTAATATCACTTCTAACCGACATAATGTTCGATATCACTGACTAACCGATGTCAATACCCTTTTTGTGATGCTAGCAATGGTGTCGATTCCCCTATCTGACATTGCACGATTTGATGTTGGATTTTTACCAAAAATCCGACAGTAATTGGGGTTTCTTGTCAGTTTTTACACCACCAGTGATAGCCTTTTTTGTAGTAATGCGTACCTGTCTCGACCCGCTTGTACCCGCCCCTACCTATGGGTCCAAGATCCGTTTGCCCACCCCTAACCCCAAATTTCAGCAATTAGAATCTCACATCGACAGACGTTGGCACAAAAACCCGCAATCTCTTGCTTTGGAGAATTTCTGAAGACACTGCGAACGTCAATAAAACTAGCCCTTTACAACACCTGCCGACATTAAGTTTTACCTAGCTCTATGGAGGAGGTTCTTAACAATAAAAGGCATGGGTTCGTGGAGGCTTGAGCAAGGAAACTCCATTAGCCTCAAACCTTTCTTTCAAGAAGGCAGTAATTAACAACATACATAGCATCCAGTGGGACAAAATCCTGTTCAAAAAGACTCCTGTTCCTCAAGTGCCAAAGGACACCACACCATATATATTACTATTTAAGCGGACCGGACCTCAGGCAACCGAGCCCAATGTTTTGTGGTTTTCAATGAATTAACTTCTGATAAATTTTTGTGGCTCTCTCACTATTTAGAGAGCTTGGCACCCAACATTATATATTTATGCAAAATACAGATGTTTAATCTTAAAGAAAAGGAAGGAACACAAGTATCAGAAAAACCAAATTCTATATATTTATGCATAATATACCGATACATGTATAAGTACAGTACAAACTTCACAGACAACTACAGTTGTCTGTGATTCAAATTAATCTTAGACATGGCTCTTGATCGAAGAGCTATATTTGTCTTGATCATCATAATACTTGGACCACAGCATAACCCCTCCATACTTGGGAGAGTCCTTAATTGCTGGAAGCACATTAGAAATGAGATCATTCACAGGAATGAATCCACTTCCAGCAGCATCAGGAGCAGCTGGCAGTCCTAGGAATATCTTGGTCGCCTGAATGTCCGAAATCCACTGCTTCCATGCATTTTCAAGGTTGCTAAGATCGGAGGAGTATTGGCAAGGAGGGTTATTGTAGAATTGCACCCAAACATTGTCGAAAAGGCCCGTCATTAGGGCACCTCCAACCCAAGCATCAGGGAAAGGGCACTGAGGAGCTGCAGTTAAGTAAACTTTTTTCCCCTTTTTGCTATAAGCAGAGAGGAACCTTGCTAGGTCATCCCAATGTAGGGGTGTTCCTCCCTCGATATCGAAATCAATTCCATCTAAAACAGCGGCACCGAGTGGGCGAGATGAAGAGGTTCCCCCCAAGAAATTGTTCCACAAATAAGTTGCTACCTGCCTAGCATCCTCTTTAGAGGTAAGGTAGTAGCTCCCCGCTCCTCCTCCGATGGAAAGAATGACCTTGATACCTTTCGATTGGCATGATTTAATGTCGGAGCTCAGACCAGTGCAGCCATTCGTGTACGGATCACAGTGCCCGGCTAGGTTGATCATGGGGATCTGGCCATTGCCAAAAGTTGGAAGGAAAGCTATGATAACGTACTCATAGTTGCCTGTGGCACAAGTTTCCTCTAATGTACCCTCATTCCCATTTTGTCCCCAGTAAATGGCAATGCCTGCAGCTTCAGCTCCAAATTGTATTGAAAGGTTTACTGAAATGAGGAGTGCTAATGAAATTGCTAACTTTGGTAGTGCCATTCTGCACTAGAAAATTTGCTTAGCTAGCTCCAATGTTTTTCTTGTTACTGCTTGCTTCTAGTATTTAGAGAAAACATTGTCTATTTATAAGAGAAATTTGACTCCATAGTGATTGCAACACCTTGTGCTTTTGTGGAAGAGTGCGTGGCTGATAAGTCACTTATTACCATTGTATCAAATTACAATATTGCGGATTAACGCAGACGGCATATATTAGATTAGAGTTAATCTCACATATTTGCGGCATCATATGTATGTAACATCTGCTTGTGCTTAATGGTACCCGAGTAATGTTTTTGGTTAGACTAGACTTTTCTTGTCAGACAAATATTTATATTGGTGAAGTATGAATTTAACGACACTAATAAAAATTCAGTCACGGTGTTGCTAGACACCTTGTCAAGAAAATATTTCTCAGTTTTCGGTCTGTTCTATATGTCTCTTTGTGATGTAAATGGTTGTGGATTAAGGCAAACGGATGCTTCAAAAAATAAAATAAATGTCCAAATAATCCAATATCGCCTGCAAATTTGTTACATTGTACCGTTTCCAGGAATACTATTCTGTCTCGACGTTGTGGAAATAATGTCAAATTTTAAAATCTAATCTCTCTCTTTTGAAGCAAATGCAATTCCTCTCTAGGTCGTAATTAACAAGTTTTCTATATATGATATTTCCATTTGGCATTTGCACTTATGGAGGGATTTTCGGCAGCGGAACTTGAACTTAGGTCTTGATTTAGCGAAGAGAATGATACTTACCAACTCAATCAATCCTCGTTGACCACATAATCCAATATTGCCTATACATAACATCCCATGTACTTTTTCCACGAATACATTTGATTTTTTATTTTTTTTAGTTGATATTGTGAGAATGAAATACAACTTTCTCACGCCTTTCATGTTTTGTGACGAGGTATTGAAACAGATGTCACACTCTCTATTTACCATTGGCAGAAGTGCTCACCAAACCAAACCTTCGCCTTGTAAAAGGAATAACCCTTCCGCCGGTCGTGTGACTTTGACATGCCAATCTTTAACACCATATCACTCGTCTCTTCTCTCCACGCCTGTTTTGTTTTTTAGAGTGAAGAAATTCATGTGGATTCAATATTATATTATCATGAATTTGTCATTCCTTAACAAAGGTTGAATGGTAACATTTTGTTTTTTAAAGACTGAAACGATCCCGAATGGTCAAAATCTATTGTATATCATGACTTTATCATGGCAAAGCTATGAATCACTCATGACGTTGTTCTCTATCTAAAAATGTATCATGGGCCCAATTTAAGACTCGAACACCAACTAGACAAATGCCCACTACATCATTTTGTCTCCCTACAGTCCATCTCTTTCGATTTATTTTGCTATTTGTACTACATCATGGAATATTTATCACACAATAGTAAGTCCAAAAAGAGAATTTGCATAGGGAATATTTAGCATGCGTATCAAATTCACTCTCTTCGATACTTCTTTAGGAATTCGAATATGTTGCGCAATTATTACTAAAGTGGACGAATATGTCACAGCATGTTCCGATTGGATTGTATTCTGATGTTTTCAAGATAAATTGATAGGGTAATGCTAGGGATACTAAATTTAAAAATTAAATTTGCAAACTAAATGATTTGGCACCAATAGGAATGAGCACGTTTATCAACGTTTAAGTAATAAATTAATCATTAACTTTCATTTTTTTAGTTTTCAAAATTTAATTTACAAATTTAATCTCCCTAGTATTATCCTAAGTTAATCAAATCGTAAGAAACAAAGAAGAAAATGTCTGGTGTAGCATACATGCTGCATTTGACCTGACTCACAGCAATGATCAGTCTTAACGTACCTCAATCAAATGGACAAATATTACCATTAGAAAAAAAAAAAAAAAAAAAAAACCAAAAAGCATCCATGTTATCCAATCACGGATGTCCAAATAAGGAATATATAATCCCAACACGTATATGATTATAATTAAGGTAATTGTGGGAAAACCACAAATTAATTAAGCAATGCACCTCCTATATATAACCCCAAGTGAAATTCTAAATCTCAATTAGCAAGGCCGCAAGGCTTGTCTAAATCAATCTATACTCTTTTGTTCATCTTTGTTTTCTTTGGCTAATCTCTTGGTTTGTTTAATTTCTTCATCTCCACCTTTGAAATGTCGGGGTTGGTGGACAAGGCCAAAAACTATGTCGCAGAAAAGATAGCAAATGTGCCGAAGCCTGATGCAAGTCTCACCGGTGTTGATTTCAAGAAAGTGAGTTTTGACTCTGCGGATTACATTGCAAAGGTCGCTGTGAACAATCCCTACCCACATCCTATCCCCATCTGCGAGATCAAATACACCCTCAAAAGCATTGGCAAGTTAGTTTTCACCTCTCACCTTTACATATATTTTTTTTTCAGTACTAGTGATTTTTTGAAATCAACGAATGTGATCAAAACCGAAACCTCTTTATGAAGTTGTAAATTTTCCAATTCTACAAATCAAACCAACTAGGGGATTTCGGTTTTGAAATATGAGATCACAATCGAACCCTAAATTTATCAAAAAATAAGATCAAAGCCGAAACTCTGTTGAAATGAGCTTGGATTTGAAACTGGACATTCTTTCGAGTAAAGTTGTACATGAGTCTTGAGTTTGATCCGCACATTCAAAATTTAAGGGTAGATAGGCTTACAGAAAATTGTAAAATGATTATTATATGATTTAGGAAAGGAACTTCCGCATACCCACTTTTTCTTCGTTTTCATGCATGCCTTTATTTATTTCGAGATTTTAGATTGAATAAATCAAAAGAGACTTGATAGACTTGTGTAGAAGGAGAAAAAAGTGCGGGAAATCTTTTTTCTTGATTTGAAATTGTCCATCCAAACATTTGGTTGATGTATATTGATTTTTTTTTCTTCTGATTTGTATGTATACATGTGAATTAGTGTTATTGCATCTGGGAACATGCCAGACCCTGGCTCGATAAAGGCAAGTGGCACAACTGTATTAGAGGTGCCGGTGAAGGTGCCGCACAGTATTATTGTGACATTGGTAAAGGACATTGCCACGGATTGGGACATCGACTATGAATTGGATTTGGGTCTCATCATTGACCTTCCTCTAGTTGGGAACATTACCATACCACTCAATAGGAAGGGCGAAATCAAGCTTCCCACCTTATCTGAAGTCATTTGGGGTTCAAAGGATGAAGCTGCAAACGAGGAAGCTTTAAAACAGGCTTCCAAAGAGACTAAAAAGGAGACTTCAAAGTAGATATGACTTGATTAAAAAGCGAGAAAAGTTGAAAGTCGAAATCTCGTCATAAATGTAAGAGCACATAGTTTATCTTAAGAAAAAGAAAGGTGAAAATCGAATTCTTGTCCTGAATGGTTGAATATGTAAGAGCAGTTTGGTTAATTATGTTATGTGCTTAGGTTTGAGATTAAAAAGAATTTTGATTTAATTTGTACCGTGTGGATGAGCATTTTCTTCCCGGCATTGAATTGGTTAATTTCATGCGGTACCCTTTCATCTTTTCCTTGTAATTTTGCTTCAGATGTACTTTTTGTTTTCTATTCATGCATTTATCTTTTTACTTCGTGATTCTAAGTCTTCTTATTATTTAAAACTAAGTGATTTTCATACTCTTTTTTACCTTTAGATAGGATTTCTTTGTTAATTCTATTATTTCATCTCTTTCATCCAATAACTAGAAAGAAGGCTTAGAATACAAATAAATTAAAGAGGATGCAGTAATTCATAGTTGATAAATATAAAATCATCTCCAGCTTGCTACTTTTCTATTGGTGGTGATGCTCTAAGCGACTTGTTATACTTTTGTGCGCAAACGGAAGCGAATTCTAACAAAGTACCAATATAAACATCGTAGGTGAAAGCTAAAACAAACAATCTCAAACTAACACAAGAGATTTATGTGGTTTGGCATAAAGCCTACATCCACGAGCGAAGCACGACGAGGAATTTCACTAAACAAATGGAGATTACAAAAGAGTATTTAAACTCTCACAATCCAAATCCCCAAATTACAAACCCTAAACCAAACGAGTAGAGAACTCAAACAAACGAAGAAGATTCTCCCATATTGCTCTCTAACTCTCAAACTCACAAATTGACTCTCACTAAATTGCCACACGAATGAGCCGCACAAAATACACTAACCCTAAGCACCTATTTATAGTGCATAGGACTTAGGTTACAATAAGAATCTTAATAGGAAGTAAATACAAATCCTAATCAAATAGGTAATTAACAAAATCTCTCCACCAAAGAAACCAACTAAGAAGTCAAAATCCAAACCCAAATAGGACACCAAAACCAAATAGGTACACAAACCTAATTTTTGCATCATTCTAATTTTGAGTCGTAAAACTCAGCAATCTCCACCTCGGCGAGAAATTAGCAAATTTCCAAATCAAATACAAACTTCATATTTGGTATACCAAAATACAAACGCAAACATGCACCAAATTCTTTTGAAACTGATCTCCACCTAGAATCAAAAAATCCAAAAGTCTTCAAATTTGAAATTTCCTCCAACACCATGCACCAAATTCTTTTGAAACTGATCTCCACCTAGAATCAAAAAATCCAAAAGTCTTCAAATTTGAAATTTCCTCCAACACCTTCTCCAATAAATTCCATTATGGAAACTAACAAATACGAAACAAAATCCAAGCAAAAGCTTGAACAGACAAACAAAAAATGCGAATTGCACTCCACCCAAAGAGCTTGATACCAAGCTCCACCTTTTTACATAACCTTTAGAGGAGTTCAGAACAACGATCTTTTGCAATGTTTGCATCAACACTAGCAAAAGACTTATCAAACGGCTTCTTTTTGCCCTTGAGTTTAGGGCAATCTACTTTCGAATGACCTTCCTTATAACAATAGCTACAAGTGTTCTTTCCAAGTTTGCTCCTTTCCTTAATCCTTCCTTGAACTACCAAAGCTCCATCTTGTGTGTCAGACACTTTATTCTTTAGCTCTTTAGAATTCAAAGCGACTTTAATATCTTCCAAACTAAGACTTTCTCTACCAAATGGCATGGCATCGACAAAGTGTTCATACGAAGGAGATGAAGAACACAACAAAGTTATCGCATAATCCTCATCACTGATTTGGTCGTCCACACTTTTCAAATCCATCATAAGTTTATTGAATTCATCAACATGCTTATGAATTCACGTACATTCATCCATACGAAGAGTATCAAACTTTTCTTCAAATACAACCGTTTAGGAAGGGATTTGGTCATAAACAAGCTCTCCAATTTTAGCCACAATTCCGGTGCATATTTGATGTTACCAACTTCACACAAGATTTCATTTGATAAAATCAGAATGATTGCTCCAAGTGCCCGCTCCATAACATCTTCTTTTTCTTCATTAGTCCATGAATTCAGCAAAGCCTTCACACCCTTTGGCGTTTTTAAAGGCCCTTGTTGAACTAACAAAGCACACATCTTCAATTGCCAAATACCAAAGTCATTGCTGCCGAACTTTTCAATATCAACTTTCACTGACGACATAGAAGGCTTCATAGTGACTGCCAAGCAAAGCCCAATCCAAAACCTAGGCTCTGATACCACTTAGGGGGCGTTTGTTTGCCCTCATTAAGTTGGACTGGACTAGCTATTAGTCCAATACTGTGTTTGTTCCATGCTGGGACTAACATTAATGAGACTAAAGGGGACTAGCATGGACAAAACCCTTCACTAAGAGGTCTTAGCGAGACCCCCCAATAACCATGGGACTAGCTAAGACTATCCTCTCTTTCTCGTCCTCATCATGCTCAAGACCACTCCCGACAGACTCCTCGTCATCTCCGGTCACTTAGATCAATCATTAACTTTCCGACTCTCTTTTAGATCCATTTCACAACCAACTTTCATATAAAATATACCAAATTGAAGCTAGGAGTGACAAGATTACGATTTTATCTGAATCGAGGCCAAAATGTGGTCGAATGTGGCTGGAAAATGGCCTGGAAGTCTCGGCCTGTTTGGGCTTCTTCAAATCCATGACAGATTCAAGCATTCAAAGCTAAGATCTCGGTCCAGGGATGGTGAAGAATTTTTTGGCGATGCTAACTTCATCCAATTTAACTAGGGTTGGCCGGAAAACACATCGGGAAACCTGCAACTCGTCGGGAAAATTGGAGCCGTGAGGTTCCATTCGAACAACGCATAGCTAGAGAGGGAGGGAGGACAGAGAAATAGAGACTGGAATCAATAAGGAGTTTGACCAGGAATGAGAAAGAGACATGAATTGAGAGGTCTAAGAGGAAAAAAAGAGGGAGAGGTTGGGACGATGAGAGAAGAGGAAAAGAGTGGGATGGAAATGGTAGGAAAAGATGAAGAAAAAGATAAGATCATAATAAAATATTAATAATTTATATATTAAATAATATAATATTAGAATTTGTTATTACCCAGCTTCTTAGTCCAATACTGCACCAAACGCTTTACTAAGTTAGTCCAGTTTAGTCTAGTCTAAGCCAGTCCAGCTTAGTCCTTGAAGCTAATCCAGTCCGAGATAGTCCGGTGCAACAAACGCCCCCTTATTGTACTTTTATGCGCAGGTGAAAGCTAAAACAAAGAATCTCAAACTAACACAAGAGATTTACGTGGTTTGGCGTAAAGCCTACGTCCACGAGCGAAGCATGACGAGGAATTTCACTAAACAAATGAAGATTACAAAAGAGTATTTAAACTCTCACAACCCAAATCCCACAAATTACAAACCCTAAACCAAATGAGTAGAGAACTCAAACAAACGGAGAAGATTCTCCCAAATTGCTCTCTAACTCACAAACTCACAAATTGACTCTCACTAAATTGCCACACAAATGAGCTACACAAAATACAGTAACCCTAAGCTCCTATTTATAGCAGTACATAGGATTTAGGTTACAATAAGAATCCTAATAGGAAGTAAATACAAATACAAATCCTAATCAAATAGGTAATTAACAAAATCTCTCCACCAAGGAAACCAACTAAGAAGTCAAAATCCAAAACCAAATAGGACACCAAAACCAAATAAGTAACACAAACCTAATTTTGAGCTGTAAAACTCAACAATGTGACTAATTCAGAGTTCATATTTTTGGTTTATTCATCTTTATCTGCTTATTGTTTTGGTTGTAGTCAATCCCTACAAACCAATCGACAAGAGAAAGAAAAGCGAGAAAAATAAGATGTTTTATTTGATGCTCCCATCAAGACTTATCTTTCATTTTGCATTTTCTTAATAATTTTTTTTTAACAAACGATATTATTTACATAAGAAAAAGAACAGTGAGTTGAGCCTCACAATAGTCCATTATAATGTGATTCAAATTCACCTTTGACGAAAATCAAACCTAGGACCTCTCACTAACAAATGAAGAGGAATATCACTAGATTATAGTACTAAATAGCATAATGTCCTTATAATGAGAAGCAAAACAAGAGTGGGTAAAACTTTAAGTTGAAGTCTCACTATAAGAAAAAATAACACGGTTGTAATTGGTTGAATCATTAACAGAATTGTCAATTCAAAATTGTTAGAAAAAGCATGACATACTAAAAACTACTTTAACATCTTATTCTAATACCAATTTTAGCAAATTTAATTACTTTTTCAACTAAACTAAACTCTAATACGGACTTATACTTCGATGATCATTCCATTTCTTCAGCTTCGCAATTAAGTAATTCTTCGAAAACCAACGTTTATAGAAGTCATGATAGCTTAAGTCTCAACAAATAGCTTCCACAGATGGACGAGGTATTCACGCCTGCAAAATTTTTCTAGTAGGATAGAAAACTATAATCACAATTACTTTTAGTTGAATCAATTGGTGTCGTTGTTTTTAGTTATAAAAAGGGAATCGAAAACTTAATCTATCGTGCTGGTGACTCATTAATTCACGATATCTGACCATTTTAATTAACTAATCAAAAGCGATCACTATTTTTTTTTTTTTTTAAATTCATACGCTATCACTTACTTTAAGAGATGGGGAAATAAGCCTCCGAATGAGCAAACCATAATTATTTGGTTCGAATTCGCTTTAACGAGAATTGAACCTAAGACTCTCTCACTTACAAGTGAAAAAATACTAGGGTCTGGTAGTATTAAGTGATCACTATTTTTTTTATTTTTGTCCGGCATAAATGTTACTCAACTAAGCCCTTGTATAATGCGAGCACAAGCATAGAAAGGTAAATTAATATCATTCTTTTTCCTAATGGTATGAAAGAATAAATTGATTGTCATTGGATATTCGGTAATAGTAATAAAGATAATAACGAATGGAAAGATATGAACGGCTTGGATTTGCATCAACAACCAATTTTTGTTTGAAAAGAAGTTTCTATGGAAACAATTATTTATTTCTATTTTTAGGGTACTTTCATCTAATTTTTTCTAAACCTTAATCACTTATAAATAATAAAAAATACCATTGAAATTTCGTAATACATAGAGTAAATTATTATCATTAAAAAAAGAAACCATAATTAGGGCTTCTGTTTGTGTGCCACTCTCCACCGTCGAGAATCTTGAGATGTGGAAAACAGAGAGAAAAAAGAGACAACATAACCCTAACTTTTAGTATGCAAGTGTAACTGTGTAAGCATAAATTTTTATCTGTTTTTTTGTTTTTTCAGTCGACCGAAAAAAATATCTAGTCTTTTCACCGGGTCCTTTGTTTCTTGGAGGCAGATTTGGGTGTCCATCTCATCCTCTTCGGTTTGTGCGCTCAGAATTAAACCACGTTAATATTTTATATTTTTATTATTTTTTATCTTATTATCACTATAAAAATATTAATATAAAATATTAATATGACTTAACCATGACCGCACAAAATATGAGGAGATGGGAAGGGCATCAAACAAGAGAGCAGACAATCTACCTTCTTGTTTCTTTTGGATTTTGAAATTATAGGAATCTTCACATCATAATTGTTCATTATATATCATGCGGTGAGTTTTTATCAGGTACTATTTATGTTTTAAATAAAAAAATTCAAATGATTTATAACCACACGATACACGATTAAAGGTTAAGATGTGAGAATCCCTTGGATCCCACAATTTGGATCCGGATCAGATCCAAATCCGTTTCTTTCCTGCATCAAGCGGACACGTACATCCTCAGTTGTCCTCAACTACCGACCTCCTTGACACGCGTCACAAACCTAGTAAACAGACCACCACCTCCCTATAAATATATCTGAGAAATCCTCAAGCGATCAATAAGCCTGCAAGTCTTGAAATCTCTCTTGGATTCGATTAAAAATCTTTCATTTTTTGGTTGTAGGTTTGCGTTTGAAAAATGGCCGAGCAAGGTTTCATGGATAAGGCCAAGAACTTTGTCACAGATAAGATATCAAATGTGGCGAAACCAGAAGCAGAAGTCACAGATGTTGATTTCAAGAAGATGGGCTTGAGCCATGTGGAGTACCTTTCCAAGGTTTCCGTGACCAATCCCTACAGCCATTCCATCCCCATCTGTGATATCAAATACACCCTCAAAAGCGTTAACAGGTTCCATTTCTCACTTTTTAACACTGCTCAATTGGGTTCTTGGCGTTAATTAGGTCATGTTGTTTTTACGAAGTTCCGCTTTCGTGCATATATTTTTTGCTGTGTCAAATTTGATCCTTGTAATTTGCGAATTGTATCCGAGGACATACATTTTAACATCTGTTGATTTCTTGTGCTAAATCCGTTAAGTTTGCCCTAACATTTACTTTTGACCATTTCGTCGCAAGAAATTAACAGAAATGGACAAATGTCCTCGGGTTGGAACAGTACGTAGTTTGCAAATTTCCTCGGGTGAGAAGAGTTTACAAACTACGTGAATCAAACTTGATGCAATTGAAAAGTCATTTGTGTTGCAGTTCTCTTTAAGTAGAAAGTTTTAGGTACGATTGAGTTTGATACTGGATTAACAGTCATTGTGTGATTTAGTTTAATCTCCATCCAGTGTTGTTTTATAAAAAATAAAAGTTCAGGTGGTGGATTGATATTGTGTGTAGGACCTTCCTTTTTCGTCCTGGCGCAAACCCCTTTCCCATTAATTTAGACTAGCTTAAACTATCGCTTTTTTTTCTTTTTTTTTTTTTTTCAAAATAAAATAAAACTTGTGGATTTAATTGAAAGTACATGGATGATAGTGAAAACTTTGTGAATCTTAGAGGGACCAGAAAAGCGTTTTGACCTTCTTTTTTTTTCCCTCAATTTGTAGTTTGATTTTGTGTATATTTGCAGGGAGATTGCATCGGGGACTATACCGGACCCTGGATCACTAAAGGCAAGTGACATAACTGTGCTGGAGGTGCTATTGAAGGTGCCACATAGCATATTGGTGACATTGGCAAAGGATCTGGGTGCAGATTGGGACTTTGACTATGAGTTGGACATAGGCCTCACCATTGACCTTCCTGTCATCGGCAACTTCACCATACCACTCAACAAGAAGGGAGAGGTCAAGCTTCCCACCCTCTTCTAATCACCATGTCTTTTCAGATGCAGTAACTTTTGCTATTTTGTATTTTGTATTCTGTTGTTTGTTGATATATGTATGACTTCATTATGGAATGGATGAGGAATTAGGGTGGTGCTAATGATGTTTTGATATTTAATTATGTTTACCATATTAACGGTGGGAATAAAGTTGAAAGTAAATTCTATGTCGGGAAAAGAAATGAACTTGCATATAATTATAAATAATTATATATGTTATTATTTATATTGCTAATTAATGTTACAGTGAAATTTTAACTGTTTTGAAATCTAACTGGTAGAAGTCAAGGGGAATAAAGTAGCTTTATGTGTGTTCTTGCATTTGTTCTTTCTATCTCTGTAAGATGATATAATTTTACACAAAATTATCTCGACTCATAGGTTGTGCTATAATTTCATTTCTCATGTTTTAAACATTGCAATATTATATCTCAACTTAGGAATTTGTTATAATGTCATATTTTCGTTAGTGATTCCATCAAATTAATCGTTAAGTGATGATTTAGCAAATAAAGGGTCTATATATTTACTGATGTGGTAGTCAACTGTGCCATTAAAAAAATATATATATCATTTAAAACAATAATTTTTTGGGAGTTTTAATGAAAAGGGCTTTGGGCAAACAAATATTTAACCAAGAACCATCTCAAAATGCTGTTTAACCAAAATGGTTCAAAGTTTAATAAAAAACCATCCAAAACTATTGTCCACGAGTTAAACTTACAAGCCTAACCTGCTACAAATCTACATTCTGTAAATATCCTTAAATGATTCGATATTGTCCTGACTATTCACCAACCTCAACCCAGCACGAAATTGTCATAATAACTCTATGTCTTCCTATCAAATCGAATTCCTTCATTTCAAAAACAACAAAATCAAAGTTCAAATCAAAGTTGAAAAAGGAAGTATTCATCGAAACAAAACTGCCGAAACAAGTTCAAAGAAGTTTAATGGTAGAAACAAGTGAAAAAAGTGTGGAAAAAAAAAAACCAAAATATAACTGTTTCTGGAGAACCCAAAACATAACACTGTTTCAAGAAAAAAAAAATCAAATATAGTATTTGTTTTGTCTGTGTACAAACAAACACTGTATCTGGAAAGAAAACAACCAAAATTCAGAAACAGTGACTTAAATTTCAAAAACAGTAACTTAAATTCTAGAAATAGTGACTTAGATTCCAGAAACAGTCTATGTTTTAACCTTTGACTGTTTCTTTTCTTTCATGCATCAAGTGATTATACTTAAGAAATATGGTGCTTATTTTACTTTGAATCCAAATACAGTGAATTTTACTATTTCTTTTCTAACTTACATTTAAGAAACAAAGTGTCTATTTCATTTGGATTCAGAAACAGTGACTTAGATTCTAGAAACAGTATTACTTAAAATCCAAAAACAGTTTATTTTTACAATTCAGAAACTGTGATCCGTCGTTATTATTGAATAGCATGCAGATCTCAAATTTATTTTATAGAGAAATAAACGATGAACTCCACTGACAAAGAAAAATTGAAAAACAATACCTCGAATACACTATGAATAATAACGACTATCACATTTCAATGAAATAATACAAAATATAAATTAAATAGCATGAAGATCTATATTTTTGTTTCAAAGAAAAAGAAGAAGGTCTGCAAAACAATGATGAACTCCATTAACGACAAAAATTTGGAACTCAACCTAAGAAATTTAGGGATAAAATTAATAAATCATAATTTATTATAATTAGGACATTTTTAATTGAACTACTTTAATATGGACCTTGTACTAATTATTAAACAAAACTCATAACATGATTTTTTATTAAAACTAAAACTTTTTAAGTCATTTTCATTAATTTTTCTTAATTTTTTATGTCAAAAATTAAATTAAAAAAAGTGGGCCCCATCCCCGTCAAAACACAAAACCCACTGTCTTCTCCGACCTACCCTCCGCCTTCGCTGACCTCCCATCTCACCGCCTTCACGTACGGTAAGCTGGGAGCCAGCTTCTTCTCTTGCATTACTATCCAAATCCTTGCACTCTTCCACCATTCTCTCCCACGCCTCCGTTAAACGAAACCTTAAATTCAAACTGAAACCAAACCCTTAATTGAAACCCTTCTTCTCTCCCACTCCACTCTTAGATTCAATCCCAAATCCAACACCAACCCAATCCCCAAACTCTCCCTCAAGCCCTCTACGCCACTCTCACTACAAACCCCCAAACCCGAATCCCCAAAACCCATCTCATCCTCGAATTCCTTGAAGTAGGTATCGGTGTTTTCTAGGTATTTGAGATCAACGGCCGCGACAGGAGGTGGAGTTCAAGGTCTTCTGAGAAAACCCGATGCAAAGCAGGGAAAAAAGAAGGAAACTTATCAAAAACTTCATGGTGGTCCATGGAGAAAGCTTGAGATTTTGGGTGAATTTCAAGAAATTAAATTGTGCAGTGGGTTTTTTTTTTTTTTTTATGGTTAAGGTTTTGCTTAGCTAATTCCACTCTTTTTCAATGACAGATTTAGTGTAAGGCAGGTCAATATCTGCAGTGGGGTTTTGGGGAGGTCGGAGACTAAGAGGGGAGATCGGCGATGGTGGATTGCAGTCGGAGAAGACAATGGATTTTGTGAATTTGAAGAGAGTGGGGCCCACTCTTTTTTATTTATTTTTTGACACATAAAAATTTTAATTTTTTAAATGATTTATTTATTTATTTATAATGGCATGAGTTGGCTGCCACGCTAGCAAATATATGGGTCCTCTAATTTGCCAAATCATTACTTAACTACCAATTTGACGGAATCATTAATGGAGATCTGACATTGCAAAGAATTCATAATTTGAGGTATGGCATTGTAATATTTAAAATATGAGAGATAAGATTGTTGTGTGATCCATAATTGAGGTAGTTTTGTATAATTCACATTTTTTTTCTTTTTTTGAGATGAAAAAAAAGGCAATTTTATCAATAGGGTCACTTTTTTTTTTCGAACTCTAGTTTACTTGTGACATCCCACATCGCCCAGGGGAGTGATCCTTAAATGTATATTCTCATCTCTACCTAGCACGAGGCCTTTTGGGAGCTCACTGGCTTTGGGTTCCGTAGGAACTTCGAAGTTAAGCAAGAAAGGGGCTAGAGCAATCCCATGATGGGTGACCCACTGGGAAGTTGCTCGTGAGTTCCCAAAAACAAAACCGTGAGGGCATGGTCGGGGCCCAAAGCGGACAATATCGTGCTACGGTGGTGGAGCGGGCCCGGGAAGTGGTCCACCCCGGGCCGGGATGTGACAATTTGGTATCAGAGCCTAACCCTGGTCGCGTGTGTGCTGACGAGGACGTCGGGCCCCTAAGGGGGGTGGATCGTGACATCCCACATCGCTCAGGGAGTGATCCTTAAATGTATATTCTCATCCCCACCTAGCACGAGGCCTTTTGGGAGCTCACTGGCTTCGGGTTCCGTAGGAACTCCGAAGTTAAGCGAGTAGCGCGCGAGAGCATTCCCAGGATGGGTGACCCATCGGGAAGTTCTCGTGTGAGTTCCCAAAAACAAAACCGTGAGGGCATGGTCGGGGCCCAAAGCGGACAATATCGTGATACGGTGGTGGAGCGGGCCCGAGAAGTGGTCCGCCCCGGGCCGAGATGTGACATTACTACTACACTCGCAATGTCCACATCATTTCTTTTGTCGCATTGTCGTGTTTTTAATTAGTCTAATACTTTAACTTGTGGACAAGGCGATAACTATTTCGTTTTTGTTTTTTGTTTTTTTTGTTTTTTTTTTTAAATTTTGTGTTTTGTATTTTAAAAAAAAAATAATATTATCTACATTAAAAAGAAATAGATGGATTAGCCTTATAATGGGGTTGGTAATAGTGTAGTTTAAATTTACATTTGACGAAAATCAAACTTAAGACCTTTCACTTACAAGTAAAGAGGAAGACCGTTTGACACACGCCGACCCAGAAAGTTCACTTGGACCCTAAATCGAGCTGTGCTGGCCGACACCTAGAAGGTGACGAAGCTATAAAATGTGATAGTGTATAAAAAGTGAATAAATTTGAATCTAAAAGTGTCTAAGTACCAGAGTGCGCTACGAGTGGGAGCGAACCCATTTCACACGCAATGTCAGAGCATAAGTAAGGTACAATAATGTGGGTAAGAATCATACTCTTAGAAATATCCATCAATACTAAGATTCGCCACAGATTCTTGTCGATACAAACTCAGCAGCTAAAACCTGGAGGGCACCAAACAGAAGGTGTGAGTAAGCAATAAAACCAAGCTTCCCAAAGTTATTACCTCTCTAAAAGTAATGCCCCTAAATGTAAAACCCGTATCATTTTCCATAAGACAGTACCACATATATACATATATCCAAACCATACTCAGAAATGATCAAAACCACGGTTTGCCATCAACTCCACCATACATTAATAAGTAGGCCAAATGAACTAAATCAATACAAAGTGATATATTAGTCAAAGTCATCTAAAATGACATGTACAACTTATCCATATCTCATCAATCATGACTAGCATATAAGTCGGAGTCACCTATAGTGACCTGTACGACTTATCCATATCTCATCAATCCTGGCTAGCCAATAGCTCAATAAGTATACCTGCACACGAGTCGGAGCCACCTAAAGTGGTCTGTACGACAGGACTGGGTGTAAATAAATACGCTCAAGTGCTACGATCACGTGAAGACTGGGCGAATAATCCCGGGTCACCTACGAGTCGGAACCACCTAAAGTGGTCTGTACGACAGGACTGTGCACCTACCTTGAATCCAAGGTGAGCGTAAGGTGCGGGAGGTGAACATCACGTGAAGGACTGTGCCCTGGCCACGGGCGGGAGCACTAACACCGGGGTGCAGGTTTATGAGCTCTCAATGCATCTCAATATAGCATGTGGAACTCATGGCAACCAGTACGACAGTATCGAAGTTGCCTAACACATAATTGTAGTCATGCTATAACTCAATCGATTCAACTAATACCATAAACTCACCTGAGTGTCTTGAGTTCACCTTTGCACTCGAAAGCATTCCCAATAATTATATGCACGTAATATACATATGAATATACCATGATGCAATCTAATACTCAACTATGTCGTAGCATTTTCAATTATAAACAATACAGTGAGAAGTGTACAATCAATAACGCCCTACTCCCAAA